GGCAGTCTAGAGATTCGCCTGTTTCTCTAGATAAAACTTAGGTTAGCGAGAGCCTCTAGACAGTTCGGCCGGAACTGTTTTCGAGCACTTCTCTGCCCAAAATATATGCCACAAAAATGTGTTCCAAGTTATTGTTGTCTTGCTTAGTTGCCAGTTGTTCGATTTTAACTATCTGTCTCTTTTCCAACATATTCAACTTCATTAAATAATCAATTTAAGCAAAGCTATAAATTGCGGTTAATGGAGTAATATGTTCTAGAAGACTCCATTTGCCCGAGGGTGTTTTCAGTCTGCCAACACATCTGCGTCACAAAATCAATCCGTGCAAGGTACGTACAAGGTCCAAGTACCTTGGCAGAACAAGGGAACCGTTTTCTAGTCCTGTTAATATTACAAAATATCAGATAAAAATCGAACTTTGGCTACTAAGCATGTGAACAACTGATGCAAACTTGAGATTAACCAATCAGAAGTTATCCTGAAGGTTTTCCTTCACGTGCATACATACAATGCCCCCCTTTTTGCGCAAGGACTTTTGATCGCAGTTTCGACGTGCTTTGTTCATTCTCAAGACTTTAGCCAGTGCGTTAACATCTCTGGCAAAATTTTTAGTTTATAATTCAAGGGATAAAAACCTTGGCAAAGAAGTGAAAATTTGGAGAAAAAAACCCACCCACCTCCCAATAATCATGTACACCAATCTGCGTCTCTACAATGGCGTGTTGTAAGGACTGTTAACTAGTAAAAATGGACATTCCTGTATATAGTTAGACATGTTACTCATAGATTTGTAACCCACTTGTGTAAAAAAAAAAATTTAAAAATGCAATAAATATTTAATTACTGGCAGGGAAGTGCTGTCCGATGGACAACACTTCACCACGTGAAGCGCAATCACTGCTCATTCAGGTCGCACTGAAGACCTGAATGAGCAGTCCTAGAGACTCGATGTGGTCAGTCAGGTTATCAGTTGCGGCCCGGGGTAATGTGCCCTATACCAATAGTTGTTCACCAGTCCAACTAGGTCTCAATGTCGACGGCCTGACGGATCTGAACGGGGGTTCGCCTGTTCCCCTGTTATCTAGAGGTCCGCCTGTTCCTCTAGAACAACCTACAGTTTTTGCATGTATCCTCAGCCAGCTTTGAGTACCCTGAGTAATATACCCAACCAATAGTTGTTCACCAGTCCAACTAGGTCTCAACTCGCTGAACGACATGCACAGAGCCAAGCATGTCCTCTGCAGTCTAGAGATTCGCCTGTTTCTCTAGGTAAAACTTAGGCTAGCGAGAGCCTCTAGACAAGTTCGGCCGGAACTGTTTTCGAGCACTTCTCTGCCCAAAATATATGCCACAAAATATGTTTCAAGTTATTGTTGTCCTGCTTAGTGGCCAGTTGTTCGTTTTTAACTATCTATCTCCTTCCAACATATTCAACTTCATTAACGGCCGAATAAAATCGCATCGTGTGCGCCAGGCTTAAACTCGATACTAGACGGTTTGACAAAGGGCCCAGCTATACCAAGTAGGGACAGAACCGCCTTACGAAAGTTCGCAGACGAAGTTGCTAGCGCCAATGCAACTCTAAAATCATTGTGCTGCTTGAATGAAGTTATCTAATTCCCGCAATATTAATTACGGAGTCCCCCAAGGATCTAAGAGTCTAGTGTTAGAATGTTCGCAGACGATACTACTCTAACTGCATGTGGCAAATCATTATTGGGAATTGAATCGAAAATAAAGAGTGATTTGGCAAATGTTAACGCGTGGCTCTTAGCCAACAAATTAAGTCTAAACCTTGTTAAAACTGAATATTTATTGCTTGGAAGTCGATCTAAGATCAATAATCTTACCTCTGAACCTAACATTGTGATTAATAATAGACCCATTAAACGTGTAACTGAAAAGAAGTCCCTAGGTATTCTAATTGATCAATTTTTATCTTGGGATAGTCATTTAGATGAAGTATGTAAAAAGGTAGCAGCTGGAATTGGGGCTATAAAACGACTAAGGCCATATTTTAAATTAACCGTCTCACTCTCCTATCCGTCTATTATGCTCTGGTTCAACCGTATTTTGACTATTGCTGTCTTGTGTGGGATCCAATTGGTACCACGCTTACAAATCGATTACAAGTACATAGTCCAAGCTAGGGCAGCAAGGGTCATCTTAGGATATAGAAATGAGCATGGTCAGTCTGAAGCCGCTTTGTCTGAATTGCAATTGAAAACGTTAAAAGAACGCAGATTAATCTTTAGGGGCAAGTTTATGTATAAAATTGCTCATGCGCAAGCACCACCTGTTTTAACCGATATCTTTGAAGACTCATCTGCTCCTCAACATAATTACAATTAAAGAGTTAAAGAGACCATGATTTCAAGTTTTACTTACCAAAACCAAAAACAGAATTCTTGAAAAATAGCATCCGGTATAGTGGAGCAAATCTCCGGAACAGTTTAATTTGCGAGTTACAAGAAGCGCAAATTCATTAAATCTATTCAATTCGTTGATTTCTGATACTAGCCTGCAGTCTTAAATCTATTATTATATCTTTATTTAACCATGATGTAACTAATTGTAAAATTTAACATGTAAGTGTAACTATTGTATATATTTTATCATCACGCCCCTCTTGGAAATCAGCAAATGCTGAAGGGGTTATAGCGTGTTTAAATAAAGTTTTATCTACACATCATCTACTATCTAACCAAGGAAATCTGGTGGTAATGTTACGTCGACTGCCAAAATATCTTCGGGAAAGATTTGCAGTTGTAGCTTGCGATCTAGAAGCGAAAGAAGACCGGTTTCCTACATTGAACGACTTTGCAAACTTTCTCGACAAGTGGGCAAACGTTGCCAATCACCCGATAAACGCAAGCAATACCGATTAAGAAGAAGGTTCAGGACTAACAAAGGGAAAGATGAAATATGGTCCAAAGATGGCGTGGGCTATGGGCTCCCAAGGAGACGACAGCAGAAATATTTACAAGTCAGTCAAAGTTACTACTCCCTGTCCTTGTTGTTCGCAAGCACATCCAATATATCGTTGTGAACTGTTCAAAGGTAAAACCCCTGGAGAAAGGTTCGAGTTAGCTAAAAGGAAAAACCTCTGCTACACTTGTCTAAAGAGCAACCAGATCAAGCAACTTGGTAGAACAATGAAACATACTGCCAGGTCTTGCCCTAGCAAATTTAAATGCAAAATCGAAGGGTGTGGAGCATTGCACCACACTTTGTTACATAAACCAGAATCTTTAAAGGAGACGGCTGAAGAGAAGGACAAGAACATCGAGCTCCCAACTGTTACAAGCAGCACAGCCACGTCGAAAGCAACTCATGCTGTACTTCTGAGAGTAATTCCTGTGCGCGTTATTGGAGAACGGCAAGTCGCGACCACATACGCAATGTTGGACTCGGGCTCGGAAATCACTCTAGTAGACCAGTCATTGGTTAAACAAGTAGGAGCACAAGGACATCTCGATAAACTAGTGGTGTCAACCGTGAGTAAAGAGAATGATGTACAACACGGCTATTGCATAAATCTATCAGTGGAATCTCTTATCAATGAAAACTCGAAGCGTTTGAAACTAACTAATGCTTGGAGCAGTAAAGAATTAAAGATACCATTACGTCATCAGGGTGTTTTCCAGGACAAGTCACGATGGCCTCATCTCCAGAATGTACCTTCCCTAATGTCGAGAGAGAGAAGATTTCCATTATCATTGGAAAGGACATGCTTGAAGCATTTATCCCGATCGATGGTTGCTACGACGGGCCAGACTCTCCAGTGGCCATACGATCCTGCCTGGGTTACTCAGTCTTTGGTCGAATGGGTAAAGAAATTGGAGCTCAGTGTTCTACAGCCTTTACATCCGCGGTTCATAACGTATGTGTCTCCAGCGATATTACCCTTAACCATCAATTGGAGTCATTTTGGAAACTGGAGTCCCTCGGAACCTCTCGTGATAACTCGAAGACCATGTCAGTCCAAGATAAACAAGCGTTGTAAGTGATAGAGAAGACTCTCACCAAGGTTGACAGTCACTATCAAATGGGCCTACTATGGAAGAATGCAGAAATACGACTTAAACACCTGATACGGCGACTTGAACGAGATCCTAAGCTGAAAACGAAATATCTCGCTATCATAGATGTTTACGTCGTAAAGGATTATGCTCGAAAGCTCACAAAGAACGAAGCAATCACTAAAAGCGATAAAACCTGGTATCTTCCTCATCACCCGGTGATAAACCCTCGTAAACCAGAGAAAGTGCGTGTTGTCTTCGACGCCGCTTCGACGTTCAACGACACATCACTTAATGACCAACTTCTTCAAGGTCGTGAGCTGATGAACAATCTGGTGGGTCTCCTAATCCGTTTCGGACAATTCGCAGTTGCTCTTATCGCGGACATAGGGCGATGTTCCACCACGTAAAGGTTCAACCCGAAGATTGTGATGCTCTCCGTTTCTTGTTGTGGAATGACTACTGCCAAAAGCCATTAGAGGAATACAAAATGCTGGTTCACATCTTTGGTCCCAAGTCTTCGCCATGTTGCGCTAACAAAGCACTATTACAGACGGCTGACGATACCGAGTTGAAATATGGTAAAGATGTAGCTGAAGTGGTGCGGCGTAATTTCTACGTGGACGATTTGTTGAATCTATCTACTGCTACGAAGAGGAAATTGACCTAGCACTGAAACTAATCGATATGCTCGCAGAAGGTGGCTTTCGTTTAACTAAATTTCTCAGCAATCGTAAAGAATGTCTTGAAAGCAATTCCAGTCAAAGGAAGAGCTACTCCTACCCTTGATCTGGATTTAGATCAGCTACCCATTAATCGTACCTTGGGCTTATCCTGAGACGCTCAAACCGATGAGTTCTATTTTTCGTTCATTAGAACTGACAAACCCGCTACCAAACGCAGCATTTTCTCTGTTATTAACTCATTGTTCGACCCGCTGGAATTCCTGGGGCCGTTCATTTACCTGTCAAAATACTTCTGCAGGAACTCTGGCGCCAAATGTCAATGACGATCCTTCTCAAGTCATTATTCCCTGTGGGACTAATAACCTAGCGACAGATCAAGCTGAAGTGTGTCTTGATGAATGAAAAACTTTAAAAAGCATTGGAGTATCAAGTTTAACATATAGAGAAGATATTAATGCGGATGTAATTCGTGTGGAAGTTAATCATCAACTTAAAAGGTTAGCTCATGACAATAACGTTCATTTTATTGATAATTCTGTCATTGATAGTACTTGTTTAAACGATAGTAATTTGCATCTGAATGCCAAGGGAACATCATTGCTAGCCGTTCAATTTATTAGATTTTTACGGTCGTCTTCATCTAACGGCCAACTTTCTAAGGGTCGTAAATCGGGTTTTCGGATGTCACTGATGAATTTATTGGGAGAGACAGTGAAGACTATTTGGGAACAAACCCAGTGCCAACTTAACTAATAACAATATAAGTTCCCCTTTGAATTTCTTTGCTAAATATTAAGGGTTTTAAAATAGCCTGTATTAATATAAATAGTTTAATGAAACATATTGATGAGATACGCTTTATTTTAACATCAACCACTTTGGAAGTGCTAGCTATTAACGAATCGAAATTAGATAACTCCATAAATGATGGGGAAATACATATTCCCGGATATGTTTCTATACGTAAAGATCGCACGAGACATGGAGGCGGAGTGCTCATTTATATTAAGGAAAATTTGGCTTATTCAAATAGGAGTGATTTAGTACCATATCGACTTGAAATGATTTGTCTGGAAATTAAGCTTCCTTATAATAGATCTTTCCTGGTGGCTACGTGGTATAGACCACCAGGTTCTTGTCTCGATTTATTTGATGACTACGAAAACTTTATTGAGAAATGCGATTATGAAAATATACAACTGATTAGATCAGGCGATATGAACTGCGATTATTCTAAAATTGATTCAGAGGCACATACAAAAAATTACAATTTATTTCGCGTGCATATCGATTAGAACAATTAATTCTAGAACCAACCCGGGTAACAAATACCACCCAGATTGATTTCATATTTACAAATGATAGAAGAAATATAGCGGGATCTGGAGTTGCCCACATTGGTTGTCTGATCACAGTTTAATTTATGCTGTGCGCAGGTTCACAATCCCTACGCGTAGACAAATTAAAAGAGAAATGCGTAATTTGAAACATTTTAGAGAAGCAGATTTTATTAGTGACCTACAAAATATGCCTTGGCATGAAATAGAATCAACAAAGTACCCTAATCTTGCTTGGACGAAATGGGAATCCAGTTTCAATGAGGTATTGAATCGCCATGCTCCTTTAATATATAGGCGAGTAAGATCTTCCTCACTTCCATGGCTTAATTCTTCTATTAAACGACAAATGTACACTCATGATTATCATAAAAACAATTTGTTAAACATGGGTCACAATATCACTGGAAGCATTATCAAGTTGCCAGAAATAAAGTTACCATTGAAATGCGGAAAAGTAAATCAAATTATTTTCAACAAAAAATTAAGGATTGTGAAAAGATTGATCCCAAAGCGACCTGGAAATTGATAAATTCTCTCGTTGGCAAACCTCACAAATCTAATTATGTGACCGAGATTGAACTCGAGGGCAAAAATACTGTTGATGGCGGTGAGATAAGTGAAGCGTTTAATGATTATTTTATAAATATTGGGCAAAAATTGGCTGCTGAGTCAACCTCAAATTCGAGTAACAATGTACATAAGTATCTTAAAATTAATAATTTAAATTACCCGTTTTTCAGTTTTGAGAACGTCTTAGTTGATAACGTTCTGCTAACTCTGAGACGTTTACAAACTTCAAAAAGTACAGGTTTGGATAATATTTCTGCCAAAATGTTAAAAATTGCTGCAAACGTTATAGCTCCCTCTCTAACATATATATTCAATCTGTCACTTTCCACTGGGATATTTATAGATCATTGGAAAAATGCACGAGTAAATCCAATTTATAAGGAGGGAAGTCGTCGTAATATGCGAAATTACAGACCAATTTCTATATTACCAATATTAAGCAAAGTATTTGAGAAAAAAATTTTTCGACAAATTTATCAATATTTTAATGTAAATTCACTTTTATTGAAATTTCAATCTGATTTTCGCCCAGGTTATTCTACGTTATCAGTTCTAATCCAAATGTGTGATAATTGGTTTGAAAATATGGACAACGGAAAACTGACTGGTGTTGTCTTTTTAGATATTCGCAAAGCATTTGATTCTATAGATCATGAGATTCTTCTTGAGAAACTGAAATTTTATGGAATTACTGGGGTGGAAGATGATTGGTTCGAATCATATCTAACTTCCCGAAACCAACAAACGTTTGTAAATGGTTTTCTTTCAACAAAAAAAGAAATAATATGTGGAATACCTCAAGGGTCAATTCTAGGTCCCTTGCTGTTTTTAATTTATATCAATGATCTACCAAATTGTCTTGAATCCACAGTTCCATGTTTATACGCAGACGATACACAAATATTTACCTCTTCTCACGATACTGAAGATCTTATCGATCAATAAAATTCTGACTTGCGAAAAAAACAAAGTTCATGCTAATAGGATCCGCACATAATTTGAGTGCTAAAGGCAATGAAGTAACTAATAGTATTATTAAGAATAATAGTATTATTAAATCGGTTCTTTCCCAAAATGTCTAGGGGTTGACCTTGACAATAGCTTGATATTCACATTGAGAATTTGTGCAAAAAGATATGTTCGGGAATTGGTCCCTTAAGAAGAATTAAACCCTTTGTTCCTTTGCGTCCCTTAAAGATGTTATACAAAGCACTAATTCAGCCATATTTTGATTATTGCTCCCTCTGTGGGATACATGCGGGAAGGTCCATAAAGATAAACTACAGGTGCTCCAAAATAGAGCGGCGCGAGTTATAACAGGAGCAAGATTTGATGTCAACTCGGCAAATGTACTGAAGGATCTGCAATGGTCTACGCTCGATGTAAGACGTCATAGGCTGAAGAGCGTTTTGATGTACAAAATTCTTAATGAGCAGTCCGCTCCAAGTCTTAGAGAAAAATTTATAAAAATTAAAGATCTTAATAGAGAATATAATATTCGAAGTAATGATACTAATCTAGCACTTCCAAAACCTAAAACAAACTATCTTAAAATAAGTTTTAAGTATAGTGGTGCAATGTTGTGGAATAGTTTTCCTTCTGAGGCGAAAAAGGCATCCTCGCTTTACCAATTTAAATGCAGTATGCCCACTATACCGGAGACTAGGATGTGAGTTAAGATAGTTTGCAAGTATAACACGCCCCATCTGAAAATCAACTCATTGTATTTTTACAAATCGGTTGTGTATGTCCAGCATGGTTAAATACATTTTTAAGCAAGTAAGTAAGTAAGTAAGTAAGTAAGTAAGTAAGTAAGTAAGTAAGTAAGTAAGTAAGTAAGTAAGTAAGTAAGTAAGTAAGTAAGTAAGTAAGTAAGTAAGTAAGTAAGTAAGTAAGTAAGTAAGTAAGTAAGTAAGTAAGTAAGTATAATTCTTTAATGCCTCCATATTTGAAGATACGAATATTTACAATTATAAGTAATTAATTAAAATTAATTTAAAAAAGACAAACAACACACAAACTAATGACTAGTTTCTGAATCCAAATAAATGTCAATGTAACTCGTTATTGTTATTATCTGCGAAATCGACTCAGCAACGATAATGTAAAAGTTTTGTACTTGGTTATTATCATGTCCCTGCACGAATTGCATGTTTCCAAAGATTGTCTGCATCAAATTGCCCTCATCTAACGAGTTAATGTTTACTACGAATTCCACTGGAAAGAAATATGTGATACGTTCCCATAATTTTGTTCTTGCTAATTGTGTTTCACAACAATGCAACATAGCATGTTTTACAGGATTTATGTAGTAGTTGCCACAAGACATACAATGAAATTGTGTTTTTCCCCCAGCAAATCGCACACCATTCACATAGAATGACCCACAAAGAATTTTAACAATAATTGCCACTTGGATGGCCATCTCGCTGTTTTCGAGAGCAAACTGCAGCCACATGTTACGCATTGGTTCTTTTACGACTTGGCTGTATAATCCTAATTGTTTATAACGTTGCGTTTTGAACTTCCAAAACTCAATCTCCGTATGATTAATATTCTCAATTACTGTTTTCTTCCATTCAGATTTGCTGGGAAAATTTCCAGACTGCAGAAAATTGTCCATATACTCCCACAAGCAATACTTCTGTAAGATTCTAACTAAATCTGGTACAAAACCAGTGATTTTGTTCGGATTCCATCTCCATCTATTAAGTCGTATCATGAATACCCTGCGATGTACACAGTCCTCACTTGCACATATTAGTCGCCTGAGAAACAGAAGCTTTCGTTTGTCTATTTCTGCTCCGACCGTCCAGAGACCAAGAAGTCCACGTGCAGCTGAACCCAAGGTACCACTAAGTAAACCCAGACATACTCTTAAAAATATATTCTGTACCTTTTCCAATTTTGATAGTTTTTCTCGATTAAGTGTCCACAACTCAGCACCGTACAACATTTTCGGCAGAGCAATCCGTGCCCACAGCTTAGTCGCCACCAATGGACTCATCCCGTTAAATCTACATCCTAGATTTGCTAAACCAATGCCGATAGCCTGACCTTTCTTCGCAGCCTCTAGTATTGGAATAAGGCTGGAAACGTCGGTGTGCCAATCTTTTTCAAGATTATGCCAGATACTTTTCTCCATGATTTCTTTACCTCCTATAAGCCACCTTCTGTTCGTAACTGCCGATATGTTATCTCGTTTTTCGCCAAAGGTCAGCACAACAGTTTTTTTCTCATTAAAAGTAAGTCTCCATTTTAGGCTATAGTTATGAACTTGTACAAGCATGTTATCAAGACCTCGTTTTAATCTTGACATTAGCGTAAGATCGTCAGCAAACATTGGTGATCCAACAAACAAATTTTGAATAACTATACCAGTGGATAGCTTTTCCAGCTCGCTTATCATGTCATCAATGAAGAGAAGAAATAGCCATGGCGATAATACCCCACCTTGTCGAACCCCCTGTAAGATATTAAACTGTCTGGAAAGTTTACCATTATACAAGACATATTCCTCCATGTCTGAGTACCAACCTTTTATTAGCCTCCAGCACTTTTCTCTAATATTTACGTTGTGATATAATTTAAACAACATACCATTTATCCATACTTTATCAAATGCCTTTGAGACATCAACATAGCAGGCAAATACTTTATCGTTTTCCTCGCAACAATGCTTAGTTGACTCGTCAATAACAAATGAAGTCGTCAAGGCGTGACGCTCAGCTCAGTCGTCAAGCGTGACGCTCAGCTTGGTAGGTCCCTTGAAGCGGGTGGGGTCGACATCTTATTTTATTTTGAAGCCTGTTGAGTACTAAACGTTCGAAAACTTTGTTAAAAGTACAAAGAAGAGTAATTCCTCTGTGATCATCGAATTTTGACGCACAGCTCTTCCCTCCCTTTGGAATTGAAATCCTAATTCATAACTTAAATTGTCTTGGAATGTACTCCAATTCAATGATCTTATTATAAAGTATTAACAGCTTGGCAGCCAGAATGTCCCCAGAGTACTTAAGATGTTCATACGTTATGCCATCATCACCGGGAGCTTTATTATTTGGTAATACTGTTAGCACATCCTCGATCTCTTTTAAAGTAATGGGATCCTGAAAGATATCATCAAATTCAGCTAAGGAGTTTTTTGTTATGTCACTAACCTCGATATCGATATACTCCCTGAAGTCATCATAAAAATTTGCATTTTCCTCAGGAGTTAAAAGTTTTTCATAGTAATTAGCCCACACATCTGCTATTTCTTCTGGGTTTGAGATCGTTCTTCCATCATTCGTTGTGAGCACATTAGTTGATCTTTTCTTCTTTCTGCGTCGGTTTAAATATTTCCCAAACTTGATGTGATCGATGTAGGAAGCCTCACTAAGCTCTTTGAAATCATTCTCCTCTGTTTTTCGTACCATTTTACGTTGTTCCTTCCTGAATAAACGCTTTGCATCTTTGTATAACCGAAAACTTTCATACTGTTCTTCTCTTGGACGTCCTTCTGAGGTCCATTTCTTATGAAGCTCCATGCAAGCTGTCTTTAATCGCTGGAGTTCATTATTCCAATAGAGCTTGATGGACTTCTTATACTTCGCACGAGGTAGACATTTGTTGCAGCTTTGTACGCTGCGACAGATCAAACGATAATAGTTCTCAACATCATCACTGGTGTATAAAGTATCATCCATTGTTATGATTGTATCATATAATCTCCTTTGATATTCTAGTACTTGTTCCGAAGCACATTTTCTCCACGCAAGTCGTTCATACTCGTTCTCTAAATTATTAGATGATTCATGGCAGTTTATACCAGCAGAAATTTCAATGCCAGCAATCAACGGCAGATGATAAGATAAACTGCACGGATGTTCGTTGCCAACTTTAACACACTTTACAATTCTTTCGATGTTCCTACTCGCAAAAATGTAATCAACAACACTGTTACCACAACTTGAGTAATACGTGAACAGCGGACCCATACAGGGCATATCCACGTTAACTGGAAACATGTCAAATTCAGCAAACATTTCAAGGAGTAGTTTTCCTCTATTATTTTCCCGTTGACCTGAACGTGGATCCGATACATGTACGTTAAAATCGCCTGCAATAATGATTTGCTCTTCTCTATAACTTAATTGAGTGCACACTGCATTAAGGCAAGTTAGAGTGTCGATAAAATCAGCCAAGTTACTGTTCGTTGATGGAAAATAGATGCTACAGAAAACATAATTCTGATTATTCATTCGAAATTTAATTGCCACGATCCTATAATTTCCGAGTAATAATCGTTGTGCCTTGAGATGTTTTTTCCAAACAATCGCGACGCCCCCCTGACCTCGCTTCCATCTTGTGTTCATATTGTTTTGTTCCCTTGTCTTTGCATAATACAAAAAATCGTTATGTAAATTGTCTAATATAGTAAGCTCATCGGCGTATAACCAATGTTCTGAGATGGCTAAAACATCAACACTTTCAAGTAACTTTTGCATATAAACGAAGTTCGATTTGATGCCTCCGCAGTTCCAACATGCAATGTTTATGCAGGCGGTTCTCTGGATGGATCTCTGTCAGATTTCACTGACCGTTTTTCCCATTTATCTTTGGAGAGCCGTTCCCTTGCGTATACATTTTTCGGCCAAAAATTTGGTTTAAGAATCTCCTTAATATCTAAAGCTCTGACATTTATACGCGCAGCAACGTTGCCACTTTGCCGACTTTTCATCATTCGTACGACAGTCGGCTGAACGCCTTTTCCCTGCATAAATTCTTTTATAGTGCTCGCTTGGACCCCGTCTTTAACACCACCTAGATACAATCGTTTTGTGTTGCGCCGTTCCACGCCAATAAACTCCTTTGAATCAGCTAAACTCTCTTCATTTTTATTTTCACTTGTTTTTGAACTTCTAATTATTTCACTTTGTTTTGAACAATCAGTATTATTCGACGGCGGTCCCGGGTCATTTACGCTCTCGCCTTTGTTACTTTCATCATCATTAACTAGAACTGTATTAATTTGTCCTTGGCTTTGTTCACAATCAATAACACTCACAATAGTAATTTGCTCATTGTCCTCATTACTACCACTCGCTATAGCAGCGAAGGATCGTGGCTGAGTACCATTGTTAACAACTCCCTTGGGTCCTGGGGATGCAAGTTCAGGGTTGCCAAACTCTACGGAATTATTCAATTTTTTTTTCGTTAATATTTTAAAACTTTCCTTTGACTTTCTCTGTTCTGCCAATTTTTGAAATATTTTCCATCTCGACGCAGATGCTTTCGCATTTCGAATTTAGATATTCTTTTGAAGCACGGCAATTAGCTCGCAACGTCGACACCTCCTTTTCTAACGAGTATATTTTTGAGTCTTTTTCGGCTAAATGTAATTGCATATGATTAAGTTCGTCTTTCAATTTGTCAATATCTGTTTTGTGCTGAATATTTGTTTCAATAAATCTTGTTGTATAACGACACTTTTCGACATTGGCATGTTCTACCAATGTCGAAATTCTCCAATAAGAAGGCCAACTATTCCGAGATTAGAGCTTTTGGCGAGTGTCATGGCGGTGCGTCTGAGCAACCTTATCCGTTCAGAATTTGACTGGAAGTTCGACAATATTATAGTCTGGACAGATTCTACCACCGTGCTGCAGTACATATATAACGAGAGTAGAAGATTTTATCGTTTTGTAGCGACATGCCTTCAAGAGATTCATGAACACACCAAGTCCGATCAGTGGCGTTTCGTTCCTGGAAAGCTCAATCCAGCAGATGACGGATCAAGGGGCTTACCAATAGAAGTGTTTAATGTGAAGTGTCGTTGGTTGCCAGGCCCAGATTTTCTGCACCAAAGCGTTGATCAATACCCATGCACAACGATAACCAAAGTTCTAGGAGACGGTGAAGAGATTTAACAAAGCAATCTTGTCAAAATGTTGTTGCTGTCGATAACGGTTTATCGGAGTTGCTGAAATGTTGTTCGTCATGGTCGAAGCTGCTAAAATGTGTTGCATGGTTGACTCGATTCGCAATGTTTATCCAATCCAAGCCAAATACCCTTTCATGTGCCAACCAAATCACCTTAGTCGAGATGAAGAATTCAGCACGGGCGATCGTAAAATTGATGCAGCTGGAATACTTTCCTAGAGAGATCTTGGCATTGTCGACTGAGAAAGGAGTAAAGTCAGGCAGCAGACTAGTGAATCTTTGCCCGGTATTGAAAAACGGCGTCCTGTGTGTTGGCGGCCGACTTCGACACGCCCCATTAACATCCGAAGCCATCAATCCAATGATTGTTCCCAACGAGCATCACATCGCCGCATTTATCATTTCTTATTTTCATCACGTCCTAGGTCACGCTGGTCGGGAACATGTACTGTCAGCTGTTCGGCAGAGGTACTGGATACTAAATGCACGTGCACTAACTCGTCAAATTCTTCGCCAGTGTATAACCTGCCGTAACAATAACGAATCACCAATGACGCAGAAGATGGGCGATCTCCCTGGCGCCAGACTCACTCCATACGAACCACCTTTTACTTTTACTGGTTTGGACATTTTTGGCCCGTTTACTGTGAAACGGGGACGTAGTTCGTAAAAGATATACGGGTGTATCTTTGTATGTTTTACTACGTGAGCAGTTCATATCGAAGATGTCGGTTCATTAGAAACTGATACATTTGTCTTGGCACTGAGGCGTTTTATAAGCGTTCGTTTTCCGGTTAAGTACAGTTTATTTGTCTGCTCCTTCCTCCTTCTGTATGTGTCGTTCTTGTTCTCCTCACGGAAATTGGAGGTTTTTGCTTCATCTAGTTCTTCAACAGTTTGGTCTTCGTCCATTACCGTTTCGTCATCACCTCCTTCGACTTCGTCATTAATAATAATAATAATAATAATAATAATAATAATAAAACTTTATTTAATGAGGGATTACATTGATTACTTAATATAGTATTCTTCCCAATGGCCCTCGATATCTAATAGTAATATATAAAAAGAAAATCCTATTGAGAGTAACATTGAAAATGAGTAATATGCTTACAATCGATGCAGCTGAATTTATTAACGTGATCTACTTCATAATTCAATTGAATAAAGTAGGTTTTGAGCTTCTTTTTATAGGAATAAATTGAATGATTTTCAATATCTTTTAATTCGGAAGGTAAAGAATTAAATAAACTTGCACCACTGAAGGAAATTTTGGATTTTGCTTGCGTGGTCTTAACTGATGGAACTTTTAAGTCTGTAATAGACGATCTAGTTGGAATTGGATGAGAGTCGCGAACAAAGACAAACAATTTACGAAGATCCGGCGGCCAAGATGTTTTTAAAGTATTGAATACCAATAATATTTTTCTCATTTTGATGAAATTAAAAATAGGTATCCAGTTGAGTTTACGGAAAAGCACAATTGAAGGCACTTCAGTTGACTGCTCAAGAATTAGTCTCGCTGCACGTTTCTGTAGTTTTAGTAGGCACGTAATTAGATCGTTATTAGCATTGCCCCAGACTGTGCTACAATATAGCAAGTGTGGCTAGATTAGTGCGTAATATAATTGAATACGGGATTGATTACCTTCCAGTCGCTCGTTAAACCAGTCATTCATCTCGGTTTCCATTTTTATTTAAGTCTAAAGATAATTCCTGTCCGTAATATCTTCCTAAAATGTCTTCCCAATCGTCCGGATCCTTAGGGCTGTACATGTTCGGATCTCCCCGAAACACCGCCGTGATGACGTACTTCTCGTCGAAATTGGGTTCGTACCCCTTTTCGAGCGTTTTATGTTTTATCTCCACCCTGACGTGATCCCCGACTTTGAACTTCACCGACTTTGAAGCTCGCAGCTTGCTGCGAGTGCATGCATGAGCACTTTCATCCAATCACAATGCTAAACAGTTAATTTTCTCGTGGAAAAGTAATGGACATCGTAATCCTTTAACAACGTCTTTACTCCTACATTGTAGAATTCTTTTCCGTCGTCGAATTGTGCTGCTTTCGGATATCTGTTAAACCTTTCCTTAAATTGTGTGAGCACCTTTTCAACGGCCTTCGTCATACTTTCGGTGTTTTTTTTTCTCCAGACGGGAGAAGCAAAGGCATACCGACTCAGAACATCTATGACAGTCAAAATCCAACGGTTTCCCCTATTCTTGTAGCTGAACTTGCTCATGTCCACAAGGTCCATTTGGATCTGCTGTGCAAGTCCGTCCACATATGTCCTTTGGGTTTTGTAATGCTTCCTGGATGGTTTATGTATGATATACCTGTTCTGCGTTTGTAACCATTCTTTGACGTTTTTCCTGCTGACACCCGGTACACCTTCTTCCTTTGCCTTTTGGTATAGTTTTTCCATCGACATGTACCCACCGTTTACGTTAAAATATATTTCTCGAAGAGCTACATCCAATTGCAAACTCATTTTATTATCGGTAAATAAAACATGATGGAGAAGATAACAACCTACATCAAGGACGGAGGGATTACCCTAAATCTTCGGGATCCTCTGGTCCTTACCCACGAATCCAAACTTTTTGTAAAAACTGCCGCCGTGTTTTGGAATTACAAAAACGTTCGCACGGGTTACAACGACTACATATCCGTAAATGGAAAGAAAGATATGATGGATGAAGGATATTGGACGTTTAAACAGCTACGAAAAAAGAAGGAGGAAAACGGACTGACGTTCAAGGAATATCCAGACGGAAGGGTAAAGATTGACCTCGATAGCGGAACGAAAACGTTGGGACTTCGGAATCTTACGGGGATTTTGGGATACTGATCCTCCAACGGCTCCACATACACCCCACACATTAGCAACCGTCCCGTAGATATTCATGATGGTCTGCGATACATCACGGTTAGCTGTGATCTTGTGAACCATGAGCACAACATCGGACCGGATGGAAATTGGAGTATCATCATCACCTCCCTTTCGATCGATGGAACCAAGCCTCTTTTCGGAACCGTGACCAAGTACAATGACATCGAAAGTTAGTACGGGTGGATGCTGGAAGGTACAACGAAATCCGGTTTGAAATGGGATCCAACACCGAAGTTGTTCCGGGAGATGTTTGGTTAGAACTTTACAAAAAATAAAATAATGAGTGAGGATATCTTTCGCAACTACTACGGAAAGAATTACGAGAAAGTGAAGACGGCATCACCCATCGAAATCCGGCGAGTGAAAGAAAGTTTCCGGAAAAAGTATCCCAACGCAACCATGTCCAAATTTGACTTTGAGGTTACCATTGCAAAGGACGGAACCGTGGAGTCTAGAGACATATTTTTTAAGGTAGACAATCTTACGAGCTATGATATTACGTCTGATACGTTCCGTTCGAATGCCGAGTGGACTAAATTCCTGCACTGGGTGGACGGATGGCGAAGCGTTCTTCTGGACATGATTTTTCGTCCGAATAAAGATTTTAAAATGGATGTGCATAGTTTCAAAGTTTACATGACGGAGACTGAAAGTTTCCTAACAAAATTAGAACCCATTAAACCGACGTACAGTAAGCCTAAGAGTATCGACTACCATTCCGATTCCTACTTTTGTTCTTTGGCAGTAGCCTACGTCGCTACGTTCAAGTGTGGAATTTCCGAGGATCATCTTCAGAGTTGCAAAAAAGCTGCGGGCACGCGGCATTGACCGTGAGGAAGGTTTACCATAGGTGAGGTCAGTGAGGAAGGTTAAGTTGCCAATGGTCGCTAACACAAAAAAGTAAAACAAATAAATGGTTGAAGAAGGCATTTGAGGCTGACAAGTTGTGGTGGCACTATTGTGATATAGTACGTATACCAGATACTATAACATTGGAGAATACTGAGAAGACAATAACTGAAAATATTCTGTAAAATTAAAATGTGGAACTTTTACAGGAACTTCGCATTTAGTTCAAGGATTCAATCCTTGTTCGTGGAGACATGTTGGAAATGACAGAAATGTGTACTGTAATATGTTTATTTCGGTTTATGACACTTCACTTCACTTCACTTCAGAACTCACAGAAATATTAAATGTTAGGAATTATTTTTTTATTTATTGATATATAAATTATAAATATAAAATATAAACCTCCCGCCTCTTTGACATTTTCAAAGTGTAGTGATGAGAATCAAGGAATTTATTTTATGTGGCCTTAAACCATTGCACAACCAATAACACAAGGCTGTATTACTAAGAGCTATTCATCATGGTTACAATAAGAAACTGACATTGAGTATTATTATATTATTCAGAGATTATTTTATAACATGATTGCAATATTTTTAGAGAATAATTAATAGTTATAAATGAAATAAACCATCAATGCTGTAGCAACAAAACATTTCAATAATTATATAAATATGGCCTTATAAACAAAGCTGAGGAAGAAATTTTAGCATGTGTGATGTGAGTCGGACGAAAATGGTACAGCTTAATTACTGAGTTGTGTAGCTGTCATACATATTTAAACAGATTGACGGAATATATCGAGGTCCTATAATCGATATAATTTACATACCTGATATCTACACTGTTAATTCCCACGTACAAACTATAAGATAACCATAAGTATATTGCAGTATTGGCAGCGTCTGTTATAGCGATTATATTGCCATTGCCATTGAATCAGATTTTCAACCACTCCAAACATTGCCATAAACTGCCATGCAGGGCACTATACTTCGGAAACAAGTGAGAGCATTCGCTGCCTCACTGATTGTGAAATTGGGAGATTGGGTCACACTTCTAAAGACCTAAACACTCTCAAATGCCTTTCAAAACCACAAGTACAGAAATATCATTTTTTGGTATTATTTTATATTCAATATATGATATAGAATGTAGACGTTGTAGGTAAGGACTGTCCAATTTGTCCAAAGTATAAATCTATTATGGCAAATTTATATATTAGAATCGTGTACTGTGTTTTATGCTCTCCGAATCAGTTAAATTTATATACTCTTGTATATTGCTATTTGATGAAGCCATATCTATTTAATTTATTTTGAGGGAGGTTAGCAAACTTTAAATTTTACCCGGAGGAAATTTGAACAGGTTTTGCAACTCTGATCATCTAACGACTAATCTTCCGGACTCACACTCCAACATAGTAACCTCCATCGTTCGTTTTCACCTCCATTTCCACCTTTCAAGGTTTATGCGTAATCCCAAACTTCTGGATCAGTACATTACGGAAGACGACACATGGACCATCCGAAAATTCACACCCGTTCATGAAACGTGGGAAAAAAGAACGGACTCCTCCCATGCAAACCTAGGAACGTGGTACTACGATAAACCAGCGGACGTACGAAGAAAAATAAGACGTCGAAAATATCATCAAACTAAATACGGAGGCACATTTATCGAATACGAATACCTAACTCGCAGGTCCCCCTACGACGTTAAAAATGATGACAAGACCCTTATTCCTAAGAAATCCCGAGGATTAACCAAAGTTGGACAAAAGCTATTCCAACAGTCCATCGAGGTTTTCGTGTATTCCGTCCTAGGGGCGCAGGCTAAAACCCGATGGAGTATTACGGGACAAGGCGCAAAGAGTCTATAAACGTAGGAACTCAGGTATATTAATGCCTGGGTCTGCCCACGCTTGGATGATATCTTGCGCGCGTATTGCACGCGCGATCTGTCAGCCATGCGTATTAGTAATTGCGCGCCTTGTGTGAGTATTTTAGTGAATTCGGGCGTTTGCTTCAAATCAAAATATGTAAAAAAAGTTTCGGTAAATAGCAGGATGGAAATTCAGCATGTTCGTTGACCGTGTCTTTGTTTATCACTGAATGTAGCGCTTCGCGAAAAATCCTTTGTGTATAAATTGTAACTCCTTTCTGGAGTATCACGGCGTCTGACTTTGCCGGCATCGTGTCCGGTACTTTGTGCGTGTTCTTTAATTGAAAAAAAGAGTTTTTTGCGAACTCCTGGCTTGTGCTCCAACCATCTAGAACACCAACATCTCTTGGATTCCCCGATGTACGAAAAAGAGCAGGATTTACATTCATATTTGTACACTACAGCCTTTGTTCTCTCCTCTGATGGTCTCGTCTTTGGTATGCGAAATATATTTGCCAACGTGCGTATAGTTTAAATTCTACCCGAACTCCAGCCTTTGTTAGAACACTTTTTACTTTTTTAGAGACACCTTTGACGTATGGGAGACACGTCGAACCTCGTATTTCATTTTCCACGTTTCGATTTAATTACTTCTGTACGATCATTTATAACTTCCTCAATGAATCTTTTCTTATAACCATTTAATTCTAATGCGTGCAAAACATTCTCCGTCTCTTCAGTCTGTAAAGTCGAGTTAGATGGAATAGTCTTTGCTCGATCTAACAACGTTTTTATAACAGCTTTTTTATCATTAACATGACTGTGAGAATCAAACGTCAATGTTCTGAAATTACCTACAAGGTTGCATTACGTGCGCAATATGGAATAAAGGAATTACTAAATCTGTTTGTGTGCATCTTGGGAAGATTATATTTTCTGTTTGTTCTGAGATTTTTTGGTTGTGAATTTTTCGGTGGCAATAGTTCCTTTAACTTATGATCATCATTTGCGTCGATTGATGAAAATAGTTTTACACACAACTTTTCTCTTCGATCGTACAATGTTTCCAACTTTGCCTTTTTTAATGCTTCGATGTAACTCGAGTCTGATTGGATAATCCGTAGTGCCCGCTTCTGAATACTTTCAATTTCCATTGATAGATAGTTAGGGAGACTCGAGTGGAAGACTTGACAAGCATACCCAACGACAGATCTTATACACGCGGTATAAAACTTGTATAAGGATCTAGTTTCCACTTCAGCACGTTTTAATTGCCTTAATAAATAAAGTCTCTTAGAAGCCTTTTTCACGGTATTGCTTACATGTTTGTTCCATTTCAAGTCATTGGTAACTATCATGCCCAGAACTTTTGCTGATTTTACAATTTCAAATGGCTTCCCGTTTATATTTAGGGGTTCCTCAGTAAATGGTTGCGTGGTAAAGTTTATCCTCAGCTCTTTACATTTACCAGAGTTCAGTTGAAATTTGTTGTCATTCGACCATTTGTTTACTTCGTCTACTTTATCTGGCAAGGACCTAACACCATCTTTTGGAATAACTTCGGAAACCGAAGTACCGTCTGCAAATTTCCACAGGTTACTAGTCGGAGATTTTGTAATACATAGGTTATTTATTATTGCTAGGAATAGCTAGGGAACGATTTTCGTTCCCTGTGGAATACCGGCAGAAACTTGTAAAACATTTGAATGCACAGAGTTTATTTTAACTCTCTGAGTTCGACCACGAAGAAAGTCAGCTATCCAATTTACAACCGTTGGCTTTATTTCATAATTGGATAGTTTTGCAACAAGTAGATTGTGGTCGACTAGGTCGAAGGCTTTGCGATAATCAAGTAGAGCGACTCTTACTGTAGAGCCCGTCTCATCAAGTTCATCTAGCCAGGTATGCATCATTGAAATAAGGCAAGAGTCGTGTTTGATCCTGGGATAAAGCCAAATTGCATTGGGTCCATCTTTCTTAGTAGTTTAGATTTTAATTCATACTCGATGATGAGGTTTTCTGCAATTTTTGACAAATGAATGTTGAAGTTTAGGATATTGGCCTCAAGTCCTTGTTAAAATCAGTAATGTTTTTGGCTTTAGGAACAGGTGGCACATCTGCTATTTTTCATAGACCACACGATTTATTTTCAAGAATATATTGAATTTCATTTATAATTTTATATGACGAGACCGCATTGAAGTAACACGAATTCGAAATGGGGTCACCTAAATAAGTGCCATGGGACTCAGCGGAGAGTCTAAGAATTTATTAGCTAAATTATATCCAATAGTAGCAAAATGCATGTTTAGTATATAACTAATCTCATGTTGGTTAGTGGTTTTATTATCGGAGTTTGGTTTATTAATAGAATTTATGGAGTTGCTTTTGGACTTACTGTGTCTTGAGAGTTCCGAAATTTTATTTTGATAGTATTTATATTTATCCCGCTCACCATTTAAATAATATTTGTTTTTCATTTTAACTGCTCTTCTGACCATTTGTTATCCAAGCTTTAGAAAGTTGTTTTTCTTTACGTTTAGACAATGGCTTTAATGGTGCGTGCTTGTTTACAATTTTCATTAGCTTTTTATAAAACCTGTTAAACAAGGTTTTGACATCGGTTGATGAATTATGCACTAAAAAGCTTTCGACAATAGACTGGACCTCTGACAAAAATTCCTTCTGGTCAAATTTAGAATAATCTCTGCTCTTCTGTTGTCTTGCACAATATTGGACTTCACAACTTTATGCCTTTATCGTATTACATCAAGGAGGGAGGATTACGCTCCAAAGACCTCCGCTTTATTCCGAGCATAAACAAGTATTTTCTTAAGCTTTTGTACAACATGTCAACATATCTTAGTTGATTAAAGCTAAAGACTTTGTGCATCTATTTTTCGTATTTTGGATTTGGATTTATATTGTGGTGTAAACTTATTTCAGCATGAGCTCCACCTTTGAATTTACTATATGAGTAAATTCTTAAACACGTCCGAATTTATTATTATGATAAATTCGCGGCAAATTTTGAATTTATCATAATAATAAATTCGCGGCACCTAACACTAACACTAACCCCAACCCCCACCCTAACCACTAACCCCTAACCCCTAGCCCTAACCCCTAACCACTAACCACTAACCACTAAATTTTTTAACTTTTTAAACTTTTTTAAAAATCTAACTTTTTAAACTTTTCTTGCTTTTCAAAACTGTTTTAAAACTTTTTTAAAAGCTATTTTTGTAAAAAAGTTGAAAAACTCAAATTGTTCTTTAAAAAAATTGTTCTTATTATTCGAACATTTTGGTATTGTTTTGTCAACTTTGGAATTAAACATTTGACTTTCCGCTGTTTGTAGTGTGGCGTCTTGTATTCTATTATATTGAATTATAACTAACTCGCGGGATTTTAACTTTTCTTATATCTTTGAATTTATTGTATATATGCAGCTGAAAGTTGGTCAGTATACAGGGTGTATAAAAAAGAAGGAGACCTTTAGAAATCAAGCATATATATAGTGTTAAAATTTGAATGCCTTATCAATTGCACATATGCTGAACCGTAGTGCGTGAATTGCATATATTAGAAAAAAGCGACCTTTAGAAATTGAAATAACATTTTAACAAAAGATTGCCTGCTCCTGGGAACAATCTTCTATGCATACTGTACGTAGATCGCATGTTACGCACTCGTGGGCTTAGAAAAGTGCTGCAGGATTAAAATTATAACAATGGTTGATTTCTAAAGGTCTCCTTTTTGTAATATATGCACTCATCAATATTTCACGCACCACGGTTCAGGACAGCATATGTGCAATTGAAAAGGCATTCAAATTTTAACAATATGCTTGATTTCTAAAGGTCTCCTTTTTTTTATACACCCTGTAGGACATATCGTTATCATTAGATTAAGGAACGTTTTCTTTCATTGGCGAAATGCGATCATTGTTATTGTTGTTGTTATTGTTCATAGGCGAATCCGTCAATTCTTCCAAGACAAAGGAACTTTTAGTATTAGCAAAATTTGCATACTCAGACTGCTTAACATCAGATTTTTCTGTGTTTTTACTAAAATTACTGTTATTCTTTACTTCATTTCCTTGCACTCGAGAAATTACAGACGCTAAATCATGAACAGACTCTGCAAGCGATTGAATTATTTCGAAGTTTAACATTTGTCCTGCTTTGAGACCGTTTTAATATCATCAAAATGTGCATCGGTCGTCATGCTTGATTGGGCTTGCGATGGCGGGGTTGGCAAAGTTAAGTTATCTTTAAGCATTACCTCGCAAATCTGTTTCTTGATTTTCTCTGATCTCTCACCATTAATGGTTAATACATGTTTATTCTTTCGCCACACCATAGTTGAATTACCAAACGTAAGCAGCTTCTTGTCCCCTCCAGGCTGTGACCATTCGCCATCTAATTTGAGAACTTCGCTCGAGAATTGCTTAAGAGAAACAAAATCGCCTGTCCAAGCAAGGCTTATATTCTCGATAAAACCTGACATTCCATCAGTTTTCTATCATTTGCATATTTGTACCAATGGTGCATTCAAAATTGTTCAAAAAGTATTTTAAAATATAAACTATCAGAGGGCACAAAATACACGTCCGCACGCCACGGTTTGGTTGTGCATTAGAGTTAATCTCTCCAAGTTAACCTCTCCAAGACTAAGATTTCTGCTTCAAAATTTTGTTTCCATTGATCAATCCATGCGCGCCAATTAAAATAAACTATAGAAACACTTGTACACTCGCTACATTCAAGGCCATATATACTTACTATAAATTTAACAGTCAATTATATTTACTTATACTGTATTTGAGCATGTTGTGCTCTAAGCAGTTCAGTTTAAGCGTCAAACTTCGGCCATATATACATTGAGGCCGGGCAAATTCAGTCGTTAAATTAAAGGACAGGGCCGTTCCTAGCGCGAAAATTGGGGATGTATATTCATATATTCGTCTTCTGTCCGACGGATTTCTTTTGAAAGCGATTGTTTTTACGGTAGCGAGCATGAATATATGAATATACACCCCCACCCACCCCCCATCCCATTATCACGTCTAGAAACTGCCCTGTAAAGGGAAATAGCATGAATATAGAAATTAGATTCCCTTATCTGAAAGAACTTTTAAAATGACGTGGAAAACATTTAAAAGCTTTTTTTAAAACTCGCTTATTTCTCGACCTTAAGAAAAGCGTCTGTTGTGATGGAGCTATAAACTGTGGAACTCATTACCTAAATGCAATTAACGCTTATAATTTGAGTTTGTGTAATTGTCCAGGGTCGCAAGTCGAGGTCGAGGGTCAAAAGTCGAGGGTCGAACGTAGAGGGCCGAAAATAGTAAATTTTTATACATTTTAAAAGTTTTACAACCATTTTGAAAGCTTCCAAAAGCGGCAAAACAATTAGTTTTGCTCTCAAAACTGAAAAATTTATACTTAAATGTATACTGAAAGTTTCGCTTGTGGAAAAATAAGTATTTTATTATACATTGGAATTTAAAATATACAAATATGGGCGATGATCAGAGGCGATGATACAAAATTTGCGTTTCGCTCTCATGAGAAATTTGATTATATGAGGCTGTTTATATGGTCCCGCTTACCCGGGATTCAATGAAGTGTTACGTACTTTGATCAGGCAATTGAAATATGCGTTTCAGCCCTAAACAAAAGTTAGATAACTTTAAATATTTTTTAAACGAAATTAGGGATGCGTTAGAAGTTATGTAGTGGAAGAAGACGATTAATAATAGCATTCAACAACACTTGGATTTTTGTTTAATTTTAAACTCGTTTACACTATAGAGTTT